ACACACACACACACTATCTGTCCTAATATGCACTTAACTGTGCCTTCAACTTTGAGATACTCCAGATGTGAGTGAGACAGTTTGGCCTTTCGTTTTAGTTTAGCTCTGAGTTTCCTTCGAGGTCCATAGCTCAGATAAATCAGGCACACAAAGCTCAACGAGAACCGCCATTAAAGAGGAAGAGAGCAGCGAGATGTGATAGGCTGCCCTCATTCTCTGTGCCGCTGCGCTAACTGAATCCTTCTGGTGACGACTGCTCACTGAAGACTTTGTCACCTGCTGCATTCATCCAAAAATGATGATGACGTGTCCCGAGGTGACCCTCTTACACAACACCGGTGGTGTTACAAAAAGCCAGATGTGCGTTTTCGGTGTGTGTGTATGTGACTACTCAGTTATCTGGCTCTGTTATTATCCGTTGTTAGAGTTAGCAGTGGAAAGATTACAGGAAACGAGGAGAGATGGAGAGGGATGAAAATGAACTTGGTAGAAGGATGCAGTAGATATCAGGGAGGAACCTGCTACATTTCAGTGCAGGTCCTGATCAGGGGGTGGATTTCTTACATTATATAATTCATAGAACTCTTTAAAAAAAACCTGGCACATTTTTAACTTATATATGTGAGGGTGTGACATTTGGTGCAGCTTGAATTCAAAAGGACCATTGGGCCTTGGTGTACAAAACCACATATAGCAGTGAAAACAAGGCTCAAACTCAACATTGATGTATCAATGAAACTTAGTTTATTAAGAGCCAGTCATCTATTTACCTATCCAGCAATTACAAATGTGTATCACTTATTTAGTGTGATTTGTGACCATATATGCTGATAAATCAGTTAATTACTTTTACACTGAGGGAAGTATTTCACTCTTTAGCTTCTAAATGTTGCACATGTTCATCAGCTCATCTCCACCAGTCTGTATACTGACAGTAGATACATTTGTTCATACCATCTGTTTCTGGGCAGGCCGTGTGTAGCAGCCTGCTTTGGCTCATGAGTTCTGAGACTTGAGCAAAACAGTAAAACTGAAGGATGGAGACCTGCTTCATTGAGCCACAGGGGACTGCTGAGTCAAGTGATAATTCTCTGTGCTTTCCACGAGGGATTTCTTTCCCATAGTCGTCTGATCCTTAAACGTATTGAACCAAATCTCAAAGCTAATCCCAAAATTTACCGAGTTGGCATGAAATGCAGGATGCAATTGATCCAAGTGCTTCACACAAGGCAAAAAAGCAAAAGAAAAGCAAATATTGAAAAGCTATCTAAAGCCAAATAAAGGACAACTGGATTACACTGAACATAGAATGAGCTGAAAACAAAGATTAAAATTGTAAAATAAGAAATACAGGCAATGTAACGTTGCTGACCAATTAGACCAGTCTGCAGCAAAAGGCACAGGAGGCGAATGTGCTGTCACCCAGTGCCGCCCCTCCCCTCAGGACAGCACAGCATCCTCAGTAGGACCTTTAGCTCACCGTTGCCATGGTTGCAAAGGTGGAGAGAGTGAAGATGTATAAGCTCTGGGAACACACACACACACACACACACACACACACACACACACACACACACTGCTGCTCGTTGGTGGCTCTGACAGCCATCTGGAGATGACGCAGGGTCTCACATTGCACACTGTGTGTCCTCCCCTTGTGTCATGCAAA